GTCTATCAAAATACTTCTTGAAATATTCCGGTTTACAAACTCTTACATTGTTATCACTTAATTCTGCTCATATACTCATTTAACAAGTATTCTCAAAACTTTATTTTCACTCATATTTTAACATATGATTGTGGGTTGCATATTGGATTATTATATTATTTATGTTCTTTTGTTAAATGTAACAACTAAGAAAAAGGAGTAGTATATAAATTGCAAAAAAAAAAAAACAATAATAATAATAATATAGATAAGTTTGGTTTCGTAGCCTCCTTAACCTAAACAATTAAACCCAAAGGGGTGTTTTCACACCTAATACCCTAAAGTCAATTGACTTTGGAGCTATTAACCCAACGCTTGTTACATGAGTTGAGGAGAAAAGCTAAGCGAATCAAACATTACACTATCTACGTATCAGTATTTGTAACTTGAGTTATTAAACTTGAAAGGGTGTCTCAACACCTAATGCCCTAAAACCAATTGATCTTGGAGTTATTAGCCGAAAGCTACTTACATGGGTTAAAGATGCATAATATTTTTAAGTTATATGTATATTAATAAAAAAAGAAAGAAGAAGAAGAAAAATTAATTTCAACCCAAGAAAGTTAACCTTAAACATTAGAATAAAAATTTTATTTTCTTTTAAGTGAAGCCCAATAACTATGTGTTGATATATTGAGCACAAAAGAAAGGTTTATTAATATCTTGATTAAGAGGTATTGAGCATATATATAAATTTAATGAGACTTTATTTATTTAGATAGATTAATAGAAGTTGAATGATGAATGCCTTACTTTGTAGAATTTGCAAAAAAAAATTTAATTTTAAAGCTTTAATTATTAGGGACCAGTAATAAGTTGGTTGGAGGGTGTGAATATTATCACTTTGCACTTGAAGTATCAATAACTCCTTAACTAAAATATATTTTATAATAACATATCTAATAATATAAAATACCTTTAATTTGTGGTAAATATTCATCTTATATACAGGCCTATCACATAAATGAAAGGATTTATTGATGAGTTTAAGTACTGAAATTAAAAGGACAAACATATGGCCAAACTTATAAAACAGATGCTGGTGCAGTCTAAACTGGAACACTATTCAGTATTTAGGTCATATTTGAAGCTGTAGATCTTGGATTTAGGTCTACTTTATATGGATGGAAAGCTAAGACATAGGCTTACAACTTCCATGTGAAAGTTTGGTTTTAAAAAGGCCATTTTTAAGTCCAAATTTTAACAACAACGAAGAAGTTTGAATATGTTTTGCAGCCCAAACACTATTTAGTGTTCAGCCCATATCTTGAGTTCTAAAGTCTAAATGACCTCAATTTTTTTTCCTAGAAAGCTGAGACAATTTCCTAGAACTTTGATGAGTAAAGTTGGTTCAAATTTTGACGTTATCAATGACGTTTTATTCAGACAAAAAAAGATAAGGATTGTCACCAAGTCAAAAATTAGTCACCCACTCATCAATTAGTCATCAAATCAATAGTTCTTAATTTTGGTCTATAAAAAGAGGCATTTGACATGCATTTAGGCATTTTGGTTTCCAGATCAAGATCATGCTCTTGCTTTCTTTCTTTATATTTTTATAATGCTTAAGTTTTGCTTTCATTAATATCAAGTTTATGCCTTTCCTTTATGTAGTTAACTTTTATCTTATTTATATTTATATTTTGTTTATTTATGTTTCTTTCTTCCATTATGTTCAGCAAGTTTATTATGTCAAGGTGAAAAGATTACATTAATAGTGTAAGAATAAGTATAATATAAACTCAATATGGACCTTAATGTTTGATACTAACATGTTTTCTATTTGTTATCTTATTCATTTTTAATACTTTGCTTGTTAAATGGTTAATCTAGATTTATGTTATATAACACTTGGTATAATAAATACTTGGCACTTTCATAGCTTATACTATATGGTATAACCAACACCTGTACTATAAAAGAAACTTGATTTGTTGTTAACATAAGTTATAATAATGAATGTCTGACAACATTTATAAGTATTAGTATTAATCGAATAAGATACCTAATGTAATCATGATACCGAATTTGTTTTTCAATAGTAATAATATTTATTTCAGTTTGGTCACTTTTCTTTTGATTTTTTATTTGTTTCCTTTGCTCTTTTATTAGAGTTTTTATGATTTTTAATTTTATCCTTCAAAACAAGTTCATAACTTTTGTTATTTCAACAACAACAACAACAACAACAACAACAACAACAACAACAACAATAATAATAATAATAATAATAATAATAGTATTAACAATGATAATAATAGTGATTTTAATAATAATAATATTATTATTACTTAATGATATAATTGTAGTAATTGTGATAATTGTAATGATAATGATAATAGTAGTGATGATAATAATAACTATGAAAATAATAATAGTGATAATTCTTTATTTGATGTTAAAGTTACTGGGAATTGAGTTTTATTACCTTTTCATGTATGGTATTTCCAATCTAATATTGCTGGTTAATGGTTTAAGAAGTTTATGTGACTTGATGTTTTTTTTATTTTTTATTTTTTTTTATGATTTTATCTTTTAAAATATTGAAAACTCGTGTAAATCAAAAATTTATAATAAAATATTTAATGATTTATCTTTTTATCCAAGTTTATAGCATTGCAAACAAAATCCATGTGCTTTTGATTTTTTATTTTATTTTTAAAAACATAATCAAGCCCACGATGGGAACGAGGGCAAATAAAACCAGTTTTAAAATAAAGTTGATGAAACATGTAGAGTGTAATTTAAAAATAATATATATTGTATGAACTAGTTAATTTGTTCTGAAAAACTATAAAAACTGTTTTATTTTATGACTAACTACATCTAATTGATGTCGCCAACCAAAAGATAAGACTCTAGCGCTTTCCCTTTCATTTTAGCAAAGACCAGATGATTTGAGGTGATACAATGCGTATCAAATTATTATTATTATTATTATTATTATTATTATTATTATTATTATTATTTTATGTTTGGAAAAATATTTATGTATTGTTAATATATTTTTTTAATAAAAATAATAATTTAAAACAATATAAAAATTAACTTGATATTATCTAATTAATTTGATAAGTTAAAAAACAACTCATAAGACTAATAAAAATATAATTTCACTAAAAAATTAAGATAATATCGTTTCAGAAATATTGAAAAGACAACATCTTAGATTGGTTTGAATTAATTAGGATTAACTTGTCAAATCCACTACTCAAATCATTAGACCCTAATACCTCTATAGAAACCAAATGAAAAGAAATTATTAAACTCAATTCTTATTCAATTCAATGTTAAATGATGAAATTGAAAATAAAATTCAACTAAAAAACAAGTTAATTCAACTCGGGTTAACCTACCAAACCTAAATAATGAGAATAGGATAATCCTATAAAAAACAAATAAAAAAAATTATTAAGTTCAATTTTCAATCAACCTAATGTTGAAGAATAAAAATTAAAAGATCAATTAAAAAATACAAAAATCACTTGAGTTCACCAATAAAATCTACAACTTGAGTCATAAAACTAAGATAACCTCATAAAACACACACTAAAGCAAATTGTAAAGTATTTTCTCAATCAACTCAATATTAAAAAATAAAATTAAAAAAATAACAAAAAATAACTCATGTTAGCCCGAGTTAACCTATCATATCAAAATAAGGAGATTAGGATAACTCAATAGAAAACAAATAGAAAAATATTATAAATTCTAATTGTCAATCAACTCAATGTTGAAGGATGAAAATAAAATACACACACACTCAATTAAAAAGACAACAAAACACCTCTAGTCAACATAGTTAACCCGCAAAACTTACAATTTAGATCATAAGACCATAATAATTTCAAATAAAGCAAATAAAAAACAATTATAAAATACAATTTTTAATCAACCTAATATTAAAAAATAAAATTACAAAACAATAAAAAAAAAATTCAATTAACGCAATTAATCCGTAAAACTCATAACTTAAATAATAGAACTAGAATAACTCCATAAAAAATAAATTAAAAAAATAATTATGAAATCTAAGTAACTAATAAACCTAATATTAGTGAAAAAAATAAAAATAAAATCCTGAAATTCTTGGAAAGCTTTTTAGCATGCTTCTTAATAATTGAGAATTTGATGAATGTTTTTTTTCTCCTATCCAAAATAATACAACTCGCCTTGCCTATCATAATTTGTATTTTAAAATTTCCAATAATTATTAATAAATCAAACAAGGGTTTGTGCTTCAAGCATCACAAACACTATGGCTGCCATCATCCTACCAATCTCCGTTCGCTTCCATTCATGTCCAGATCAAAAATAAACCAGTGTCTATCGAAAAACATAAACAAAGCACTAATATAACAGGTTACAAAACCTCCCACTAATCCCCAACCAAGCCTGCAACCCAATCGAGGACTTCAGCAACCCAGTTTCTGTCCTCCAACAACCATTGAAAAATTGAACAGATAAAAAAAAGAAGTAATTATCAGATTTTATTCTTTTTAGAAAATAAGTTCATAATATAATTGGACCAGACACGTAATAAGACATTTATAAAATAATGGCTTTAGAATTGAATCTTCAATTCGTTTGTTGCAAACAACAAATCTACGTCACAAGAACTACAACTTTAATCATTGGGTAAAAAAATCACGAATCAAAAAAACAAAAATGAATATATGGTGATCTGTGTCATTAGGTAAAGAACCTCCTTCCTGCCATGCCAGCCAGCTGCTCAATTTCCAAGCCAAATAACCAAGTCCGGAATGGCAAAAGAGGGATTTTATCATCAACTTCGTTGAATGTCTTGAGCTAAATCTCTGAGTAATATCTTCAAGTTTCCTTGTTTCACTCTACTTTTCTCTGTACATACAATATAAAACTTCAATGTAGTCTCTTAGGTCTTGACTTTTCAGGCCTGCATTACAAAGTTGTGTCATTTGAGTACCAAAGGCAGACAATGAACATTGAAATAAATTTTAGAGCAGTAACGAAATCACAACAAAATCCCATCAGCAGATAGGCAGTTATTGATCATTGGATCTCACTGTCTCAACCATCATGAGTCTTGTATGGTTAGCTACATAATTCTGAATCATCGGAAGCTACCATATTATTCTCAAGCACAAGTGAGGGGCTTACTGCTGAATGAAGGATATGAAGAAGAACGACTGCTCCACAGTACAAACACAGACATATAGCAGCCCCAGCTACAAAATTGTAAAACAGCCGCATATTGTCTTTTGTGGGTATGAAAACTGTCTTTAGCGTATTAGTCAGTTCAAAAAGTCGATGAGATACCTGCAAAAGCAAGTAAAATAGTAGCACAAGAAAGATCATCTTAGTTACTATTTCTATTTCTGATAACATTATGTGGTCAAGAACAAGTTTACTTACTAGGACATAGATGGCTGTTGTAAGCATGAAATTCAGTAATGGATATTCAGGAATAACAGAAAGAAGCCACTTAGGCTGTCCATTGGGCATGTCCGATCTGCAAATGCAAGGAAGTTAGAAACACATTTCTCCTAGCTCGATCAAAATAGAAATCAGTAAACTTGCTGAATTCTTTCCCTTCTGATTGCTTTTTTTAAAAAAAAAAAAATAAGAGAGAGAATTGATCTCTGCTGTGGTGTTAATAAGATTTTTTTTTCCTATGCATAATGCATAGCCGTAAAGTTTCAAACTTAATGATGCTTCATAAGCAAGCTAAAAATCTTTACCAATTGAATGGCTATTCCATTACCCCAAGTTCCAGAATTCAAAAGCATATTCCCAATTTGTCCAGTCACTTATTGTGAAACCAGTCAGATATGCATTTACTATACGCTATTTTTTAAAATTAGTGAATTTTTTAATTATTCAGTACTAAATATGGATTTTCTTCACATTACTAGTTTATGCTCTTTTCTCACACAGTCATTAAAGATTACACTTTGCTTGACATCTTCAGAACTATCAAAATGTTGCCAAAAACACTTGCAATCACAAAATTCTTAAAGAAGTCCATAATCCATCACCCAAAAATGGACGTGGAAAGATGAGTGTTTGATAACTAAACTGGCATGCAATGTTTTAATATACAACCTCGTTAGAATTGCTCTGAAAAACAGCTAACAACCAAGTTGGATCAATGTAGAGTCCTATGACAATATCATAGCTGGATTTATTATTTGCATTTTCAAAGTGCAGTTGCTGGTTTAGTGGTATCTTGTGCTTTGTGAGGGCACCCATAAAAACTACTTTAAGAACATCTTTCTAGTGTTTAAATTCAGTTAATTGTCTATGCTGATTGAATGAAAAAAGGAGATGCAAATAAAAAGAAGAAAAAAAGGGACCAAATAGTTAATCCTCAAACCTCAACCAGATGTGGAACTGCGAAATATAGGTCTCCAAAGTTATCTTGCCCAGCCAACTGTGGATTTAAAGTAGCCCAATTAGGGCAAGTACAAAATTAGCATGGTGATTCATATTCAAACAAAAAGGCAAACTATGAGAAGTTACTGCCAATGAAAACATGTATACTGGTAAAGATAACATACGCAAAGAGAGTCAAAGAGAAACTCCTGAGCTGCTGAGTGCAATTCCGCAAGCAAATGTAAACACTGAATCACATAAAATTGATATTATAATAAGATGATGGAAGAGTAACTTAGACCAAATTACAAAATCAATATTCTGCAGACCACTCAATGAGCTCCGCAAGCATCCTCCATCTATAATAGCTCTTAACAAGAGAAAATAAAAGAAGCATATAAACACAAATACCAACATATATCCTTGATACATACGTTATGGGGATCCATGATGTGTAGGGGTGGTACTTGTTGTATGAAACTTTGTCCAGCTTGTAAATACATTCATACCACAGATAACCAACCTTGAAAGGACAAACAACGAGATCAAAGCACCATCAGAGGATGAAAACAGATTATCAGAAATCTAAGGTAACAATGAGTAGACATAATCACGCAACTCACAGATAATGAAACAGCTACTAGGCCTGTTTTGATTGAGAGTTTCTTCTTGATTTCAGATTCCTCCAACTTTTCCATCCACTTCTCGACCTGAAATCTCAAGATGTTTTAAAAGATTTAGGTGTTGGGATAGCACGAAGAAAGACTTAACATGACCACAGTTCAAGTGCTTACATTGGGGTGAAAATAAGCATATATCATCCCAATGATCCATATATAGCGATCAAGTCCCGATCTGAAGTGCCATTCATGCAGCCTAGGAAGGTCAGGCTTCACAGGATCAGTATAGCCTGCCATAAAGATGTAGCTATTAAGCATATGCAGAAGAAAGGCAATCATGACATTCCAACTGAACTTGAATCTTGCCACTTAATCAAGCTAAATTAACCAAGTTCCTGTTTTGGATAATTCTAAAAGAAACTTCTTCTTTTGACAATAAAAAAAAGAATAAAAAATTAACTAACCTGTCAGATATACATGCAGAACAACAACCGAGATTAAGACCATAAAAATTTTAACAGTTAAACAAACAACAAAAAGAAGATTCAGTTCAAGAAAGCACACAAACAAAAAAAATGTGACATTTTTTACTCAGTCCGATCTCATTGAAGTATATAAAGTGGAAATTCACTAAGCAAGCTCACCAAATGTCAAACAAAAATATTCTGAACCAAAACAAGACAAATTATGTAAGATACTAACCTAATAGGAATGTTAATGGACTCCAGAGCATGTCAAAAACTCCAGGTGTTTCCCAAATCAAGATAACCATGAGAAAGCATGAAAGAATCTTCACAGCAATCACTGAGCTATTCTCATTATACTTGTTAAAAATACCAAGGACTCCATAGACCATTACAGTAAATAGCGTGTGCATTGGACAAATATAATACAGCATGTAGTCGTTGTTAAGGACAATACAGCAAAACCCCACAAAGAGATTGAGCCGCCACATCATCTGCACCAAGGAACATGCATTTAAAATCATTTTTATAGGTAATTATAAAAAAAAAAGACAAAAAGGAAAAAGGCCGGGAGGGGGGGGGGATATGCCATATGACATGCTATTATGGAATAATATATGGTTTGAAATCAGTGGTATGACCTGTGCAAACCGAGCCACGCTGAAATCCTTTCTAATGTAATAATAAGAGAAGTTGCCAAACCCAGTCATCCAAACATATGCGGCAATAAAGACACGTATTGCATTGTATATCTCTGTCGCAGCAAAATAATGGTACATCAAGAATATGACCTGTTTCAGGAAAAGAAAATAAAAAAGAGAGTTAGTGCAGCCTCAGACACTTTGCAGGGCTAATTTATTATACACAACAAATGCAGCAAATAATTCTATATATGGTGCAAGCAGAGTGGACAGTCTCTAATATCCAAGACATCCAATTAACACATTATGAATATCAAACTGATTTCATTTGAATGATTGAAAGCAAATTCATGTAGCATTCTATGCAATGATTTTGTGATTTCTAGGAAATATTTCTACCAGAATGGAGATGCACTAACTAGAAGAATAAAAGATCAAATATTTGAGATGAGTTCCTGCCTAGTCAGTCTGAAATCCTAATAAAATCAATAAAAAAAAGTGAGAATAATAACACTACCTGTGGCCATATGAAAATACATAGCACACAAACACAAGTATGCCTAATACAATTGCAAACAAATTTGGTGATTAACAAAATGAATTCCAAAGTAAGAAGTATAAAAGAGGAAAGATGCAGGTGTGCATTTTGTTCTCTGTCGTAAACCAAGCATAACTTCATAGAAATTCTAGAACTTTTATGAATTTTGCAGTCATTAAATTCCTGTACAAGTTAAAAGCTTCAACAAGAAAACCTTACCTGCATCCACCCTTTCCACTCCTCAGTCTGATGCCGGTTAAGGTAAAGTGTGGATTTTCCAGTAAAAGTTGACTTGTCAGTATGTTTCCTCAATGATGTCATTGCTGATACTATGATGAGAAGAAGGTAGAGGAAGACAAAAAGGTCACGGTTGTAGTTCTGTCCAGAGAACATCAAAGCCAAAATAAAATAAGAAAGGATTGGCATTTGCAAAGCTGTCAGCGATGAAATCATGATAGCAGATAAACACATGACCAATGAACCTGCAAAAAAAGTACCTTCGTAGATTCTCCCAGTATATTTGTGCGATCACAGATATAGAAGTACACCAGAACTGCACCAAACTCAGACCTACAAGAGTTTGCATGGTAAAACAAGAGAAAAGAGAAAGCAAAGAGACAACACAGACATCTTTTCATTATCTAGAAAAATTTAAAGCTTACATTGCTCTCAATGTTGTTCGGTTTTCTAGCAAGAAAGAGTCATCCATAGTCATAAACCTGGAAGACAATAAAGTATGGAAATTAAGAAAGAAACTTTTAGAAAATTTGTATATAACTCCATGAATATACTGAACAATTTGAAATGCAACCTAATTAAGTTCATTTTGATGGCAGAACTATGAAATTTGGCAGATGCTGATCTAGGAAGGCCTCCCTCCAGCAAAACGGCCCGATCATCTTCCTTGATTGTCTCCTTTTCCAAGTCAAGCAGATTATTGTCTGAATGACTGTATATCAGATAATTCAGTTGATTAGCATAAGAAAATATTTGAAAATAACATTGTCCATTGCGTGCCACAAGCAGAAGCTAAGTAGTTCAATCAACATCCAATCACACATTGCTAGCTTATGGAACCCAAAAAAAAAAAGAAAAAAAAAACGTAAAGAGGAGGACTTTAGTATCAGCAAACTTCAATCAAATGACAGTTACCAATCTACTCTGGCAAATCATCAGTTATACGATCATAAGGGAGCAATCTTAACCAGCTAATTAGTTATCCAACCAGCCATGCAATCCATACTGAACAATCACCTTGCAAGGTTAAAATCTTCAATATAAACACCAAGAAAGCATTTGGATGATGTCCTCAAAATCGACAAACACTTTTCTTCATTAAAGTGTCCTCAATGCTAGTGTCAGTTCATAGATCAAAAATATAAATACATGGCAAAAAAAACAAATCCATATTTCATCATCTGAACCACGGAATACAATAAAAAAAATCAATGGAATAATTGATTAAACTCACAGTTTGGAAAGGGATGAAGTTTTCTTGTACTCTAGGAACTCCGAATATATCCATGCCACAAAAATGGGAATAATTCCCAGAAAAAACGCAACCTGATACAACAAAGAGACAGATAAGGAAATCCTGGTGCCACCTTGTAACAGATGCACAGCTACATTGCGAATCAACTTGTTAGCTGAAAATGAAGATTGATGATAAGGAAAAAAAAAATGAGAATGCGGAAGAAAAGGTTACCTGTCCAACGCTGATGATGGGGCCATCCGATACCACCATTTCTGGATCCTTAATCAATTAATTTAATTCAAATCAAGAAACAAAGTAAGATCCCGAGGGAGGCCAGCATAATAGGCTTAGCAACAGAGAGAGAGAGAGATCGACCTGTATTTTGTAAGCAAAGAGTTTACCTAAAGAAATAGAAAAAATATTGAGAGACAAAGGAGAAGTCCCTGTCACCTCAGACCACCTCACTACCCTGACACCTATTCACATTCCCATTCCTTCCCAGCGACGGTTGGTGTCCTCATTTTGCTTTCTCGGTCTGTGCGTAGTGCAATGTCTGTGAAGGAATAATTAAATAATTCGCTGTAATCATTGTTTCTGTCATTGATCTTGCACTTTCTTATTATTTTTGTTTTTTTAAGTAATTAGAAATTTGCAAGAGTAAATAATAATATTTTAGTTCGTTTATATGCTTGCTCTAGGAGGGGAAAAAAACACCAAAACAAAATGTCTGTATAAAGGAATTTTTTTAATTGTTCTTAAACTCAAAAATATATTCATTTAAAAAAAATCAATTAATATAATTTTTATTATGAACATGTTTTCTTTTAACATTTGTCATGCTCTTTTAAAAAAACATTGTTCTTCTCTTTTTTTTAAAAAAAATTCCTATAAGAAAAAATATTGCCAATAAAATTTAAATTTGTTGATACGACTAAGAAATTGATATCTTCTCGCAAGTGTAGAAATATCAAAGTAATGAATAACCCGGCAAAACTAGGATCGAACTACAAGGAGATTAATTGTATAAATTATAAATAACAACAATACAATAACAATAATAACAATAATACTAATAATAGAAAAAGAAGAAAAAAAAAGTTGATGAGAACATTGAGATGGAAGATCAATATGATGATTAAACAATGATAACAACAAATATCAATGTTAGAGGATCCACTAATGGTATTTCAAAAAATTATAGTATAAAATCTTTTTATTACTCAATTGGAATCCATACACAAAGGAGGTTCCAATCGAATTATAAGTTGTTAACATGATTACATTAGTTATCTTATTCTAATAATGCTAATACTTGTAAATATTATCGATATTTATGATAATAACTTATGTTAACAACAAATCAAGTTCTTTTCATAGCACAAGTTTCGGTTACACTATACAGTTTATGCTATAAAAGTGTCAAACATTTGTTATACAACATAAATCTAGATTAACCATTTAACAAACAAAGTATTAGGAGTGAATAAGATAACAAATACAATATATTTTAGTATCAAATATTAAAGTCCATGTTGAGTTTACATTATATTTATTCTTACACCATTAGTGTAACCTGTTCACCTTGACATCATAAACTTAACTAAACATAATGAAGAAGAGAAACATAAATAAATAACATAAGAACATAAGTATAGTAAAGGAAATGAAAAGTATAAATAAAAGATTAAGAAAAATATAACATGAAATAAAACTTAAACATTACAAAAATATAAAAAGAAAATGTAAGAGCATAATCTTGTTTTGGAAACTAAGATGCCTAAATGCATAGAAATGCCTTATTTTATAGGCTGAAATTGGGACCTAATGATTTGATGAGTAATTGTTGAGTGAGTGACCAAATCTTGACTTGGTGATAATTCTTATCGTCTTGTTGTTAAAAATGGCATTGATAACGTCAAAATTTGAACCAATCTTACACATGAAAATTCTAGAAAATTGTCTTAGCTTTCTAGGAAAAAAAATTAAGGTCATTTGAACTTCTAGAACTCGAGATATGGACTGAAAACCGAACAATGTTTATATTGTAGGACAAATTTGGACTTCTATGTTGTTCCTAAGATTTGGACTTCTAAATAGCAGAATTGAGTCTTGATTTCCTCATTAAAGTTTTAAGCATATGTCTTAGCTTTCCATCCATATAAAAGCATACCTAAATCTGAGATCTAAAGCTTCAGATATGACTCAATTACTGAACAGTATTTTAGTTTTGACTGCACCAGCAACTTTTTTCTAAGCTTCACCATCCTTTTGTCCTTTCAATTTCAGTACATCAACTCATCAATCAATCATTTTATTTATATGATAGGCTTGCATTTAGGATGAACATTTACCATAAATTAAAGGTATCTTATAGTATCTAATTAATACTTAAAAGTGTATTTTTTATCAAGATTTTATATCATCATTTTGCACTTGAAGTATCAATAACTCCTTAACTAAAACATATTTTATAATAACATATCTAATAATTTAATGTACCTTTAATTTATGGTAAATATTCATCTAAAATGCAGGCCTATCATATAAATGAAAGGATTGATTGATGAGTTTAAGTACTGAAATTGAAAGGAGAAAGAGATGACGAAACTTAGAAAAGAGATATAAAATATGGAATACTATTCGGTAATTGAGTCATATCTAGAGCTACAGATCTCAAATTTAGATCCACTTTATATGGATGGAAAGGTAAGATATAGGCCTACAACTTTCATGAGGAGTCCAATATTTAAAAAGGCATTTTCAAGTCTAAATTGTAGCAACAACAAAGAAGTTTGAATCTGTCTTGCAGCCCGAATACTGTTTAGTGTTTGACCCATATTTGAAGTTTTAAAAGTCTAAATGACTAAATTTTTTTCCTGAAAAACCGAGACAAATTCCTAGAACTTTCATGGTACAAGTGATTCTAATTCTGGCGTTATTAATGACATTTTATTCAGACAAGAAGATAAGGATTGTCACCAAGTTCAGATGTAGCCACCCACTCATCAATTATTTATCAAATCAATAGTTTCAAATTTTGACCTATAAAAGAAGGTATTTACCATGTATTTAGGCATCTTGGTTTTAAGATTATACTTCTCCTTTATCTCTTTGTATTACTTAAGTTTTATTTTTATTAATATCAAGTTTATGCCTTTTATTTCCTTTCCTTTACTTAGTTAACT